GGTTTTTTGGGGTGAATTTGGGGGGGGTTTTGGGGGTCTCTCACCTCGAGCTGGGCCAGCACCCCCTGGATTAAATCCGGGAGATTTTTGGGGGGAATTTTGGGTTTTTTGGGGTATTTTTGGGGGGTCTCTCACCTCAAGCTGGGCCAGCACCCCCTGGATTAAATCCGGGAGATTTTTGGGGGGAATTTTGGGTTTTTTGGGGTATTTTTGGGGGGTCTCTCATCTCGAGCTGGGCCAGCACCCCCTGGATTGGATTTGTGGGGATTTTTTGGGATAAATTTGGGGTTTTTTGGGGGTCTCTCACCTCGAGCTGGGCCAGCACCCCCTGGATTAAATCTGGGGGATTTTTGGGGTGAATTTTGGGTTTTTTGGGGTATTTTGGGGGTCTCTCACCTCGAGCTGGGCCAGCACCCCCTGGATGGGGTTTTGGGTGGGATTTTGGGTTTTTGGGGTATTTTTGGGGGTCTCTCACCTCGAGCTGGGCCAGCACCCCCTGGATTAAATCTGGGGATTTTTTGGGGTGAATTTTGGGTTTTTTGGGGTTTTTTGGGGGTCTCTCACCTCGAGCTGGGCCAGCACCCCCTGGATTAAATCTGGGGGATTTTTGGGGTGAATTTTGGGTTTTTTGGGGTATTTTGGGGGTCTCTCACCTCGAGCTGGGCCAGCACCCCCTGGATTGGATTTGTGGGGATTTTTGGGGTGAATTTTGGGTTTTTTGGGGTATTTTTGGGGGTCTCTCACCTCCAGCTGGGCCAGCACCCCCTGGATGGGGTTTTGGGTGGGATTTTGGGTTTTTTGGGGTGAATTTGGGGGGGGTTTTGGGGGTCCCTCACCTCGAGCTGGGCCAGCACCCCCTGGATGTCCCTCAGCATGTGCTGCGCCACCAGCAGCCGCATCCGGGGCTCGCTCTGTGGGGAGGGGGCACCCCAAATTGGGGGGGGGGTCACTCCGAGCCCCCCCAAAATCCCCCTGGGACCCCCGAGCGGGGGAGGGGCGCGGCCAGGACCCCCCCAAAGCCCCCAGACCCACCTGGGCGGGGCCCTGGTCCATGTTGATGTGGACGTCCACGGAGGAGCCGTCGATCTGGGGGGGGGTCCCCAATTTATTGACACCCCCTCCCCAAAAAAGTGAAGCC